ATGTTCTTAACTTAAATAACTTTAAAACTATTTATTTTAAAATTATAAAAAATATATATTTGAGACTCTCACAACAAGCCCTTTCGTTTGATATGTCACACGGTACAAATTGCAAAACTCTTTTAATTTTCCATTGCCCCCCCCCCAAATGACCTCAATATTCAAAATTGATTTATTTAAGTTATGCGTTCGTGTTTGGGTTACAGAAATTCATACGTGTACTAAATATTAACAATCGGTCTAAATTGACTGTGACAGACGGACGTACAGATGGACACACGACTAATCCTATAAGGGTTCCGTTTCTCATTCGGACGTACGAAACCCTAAAAATGACAACAAGGAAAATTTTATTATATCCGAAAGACAATGCTTCAACAGTTTTCTTGATTAGAAAACATGAGAAACACAAGGCCATGCATCTCTCAACTTTGTTTCAGCTGTAATTCTTTCTGATGGAAGTTTCGGCTTTACTTTTCTTTTATAACATTCCGCTGGAGCAATATATCGTACGACAAACTTTTTATTGCGGCATTATACTTTCCAGATCGAGCGAGGGGAGCGTGATTTAAAACGTAGATATAACTTTAATTGTATTTTTGAAATCAGATTTATTTTGTGGTAGAACCTTAATACTTTAGGACCGCTGCCAAACATTTACATTTCGTTTGACGTTAGACGGAGACAGTAGGAAGGGGATTGGAAAAAATTACACTTGCATTACCTTTTAAATATGAGGGTCGTAGAAAAAGTTGCAACGTGATACAGGTCTGACGAAGGAAGCTGGTGAGCGGTCGCGCAGGTACTTGCCCATTTATGACCTATTTGGGTAAGTCACTTGGAACCGATACACAAATAAGCTTTCAGTAGGCGTAAATTATAGTATTAATACAGATAGGACAGTAGCGTACTAGAAAATCATGTAGAAACATAACTTACCAAAAAGAAAAAATAAATCTATTGCTTTTGTCTTATAGTTAGTTTTCACATTCACTGTCATCATGGGAATCTCTAACACTGTCACCAACATCAACAATTAGTTCTTCTGTTTGTATGTCTATTACTTACTCACTGATCCCTGCTTTTAAATATTTAATCTACGTCCCTGATAGGAATACTGAAGAAAGAGGGCTGCAATCGTTATACCCAAAACTGCCCACTTTTATTTTAAAATTTCCGCCAGCTTCCAGCGTTAGGCCTGTACACTTATATCTTCTATATATAAAAGAAAGTCGTGTTAGTTACACTATTTATAACTCAAGAACGGCTGAACCGATTTGACTGAAAATTGGTGGGGAGGTAGCTTAGAACCAGGAGAAGGACTTATGATCTTTTTATCACGTTCCCTTGTAAAAAAAAGTGGTATAAGGAAACGCAACTGACATGGAATGACAAAACGCAATTGACAGCAAAACAAAATTCTACCCCTTTAGGAAGCTGAAAGGGGTTTGCAAAGATTGCATGTTTCTTTTTGGTCCGATTTACTTGAAACTGGTTAAAAAATTCAATCTCTGTTGAGAGGGATGAGTGGTGAAGAGGAGTTGCAATGTTTAATTGGAATATATATTATTTGTGGTCAGATTTACTACTTGAAACTTGGTCTTAATGGTCTCTCATTTAATTTCTGAAAGACCTATCTCGACATTTTAAAAAAAATCAACCTCCAAAGCGGGGGGAAGGGTAAAAAGGTGTTGCAATTTTTGTTTGGGACATACTTTATTTGTGGTCAGATTTACTTGAAACTTGGTATATATGCTGTTTAATATTATTAATCAAATGAAAAGAGGTTGCAATGTTTCCATGGGGTATATTTTATACTCGGATTTACTCGAAGGCTGCTCATTGTTGAAATTAAGGATTACGTGTTTTGACAATTTTTAAAAATCAACCCTTAAGGATGAAAAATGTCTCGCCTTAATATAGAAATTACTTTTAATTTTTTTTTATCTGTTTGTGTGTTGCATGGGCTAACCTAAGAAACTGATAAACTGATTCAGAGCGCCCTTGTAAATACCAAGGGACTTTCAATAAGTATTAATGTTTTGAGCTACAAATTGTAGAGAATATAAATTAAAATTGCATTTTTGCTTCTTTAAGATTAAAAACTTATTAATTATGTTGATTATTGGATGATGATAGATGTATTCGTTAAAATGATGGAATCGATGTGAATGAATGTAATAATTGTATTTCTTTGAATCACTCAGTGGGTTGCTATTGGAAGTGGACAATACATGTCTAAGATGATATGAAAGGCGAAATCGTGATTGCTGCGTGAACGACAATCAATTAAGGGGGGATAATCCTGCTTCAGGGCCTGACCCGTTATCCTTTGTGATCTAATCCGGTTATAGAAATCGCGTCTCGCTGGACACGCACGATCGATACAGATATATCTACCAACGTAACAACCATCACTTATGCTATTTAATAGAGTGCTCACGAACAAATAAATCAATGTCTTCAAGTTCATTTTATTATAGATAATATATATGTTAACAGACCTGCAATAATTACTTCTTAATGAAAAAATACCTACAGTAGACCCTCGAACATCAAGGAAGACGCCAAAAAATTCGAGATCGATTTTTCGACTTATGGAGGATTTTGACTTAAATCGAAAATATTAATTATCTATTATAAGTAATTCGAAAGTATATATTTAATGAATTTTTTGTTTATTTTATTGTGCTCATTTAAAAGGTCTAATAACAAGAAATCCAAAAACATCTTTTTCCAAATTTTATTTAACACAAAACTTACTTCAAAAATATAAGAGGGGGGGGGGTTAGTATACAGCTCTAAAATTTACAATCAATTATAGTGAGTATCCCAGACAGGCTTTCACTTGAGTTTAATCGTTTTATTTGAATATTCGTCTAAATAAAATAATTCGAAGTGGTCTGTATTCTGTCGAAACTGCCAGACGCGGATCGCGATTTCGAACTTTTTGGATCTCATCAGCGCGTCACAGGCAGCTCCGACAGAACCCAGACCAACTTTTACCTGCTGTCTTAACAGTTGGAGCATATGTAATCCTGCTACAGATGGCGTTTACTGTGCCATTTGTAGTATTTTCTAAAACGTACTGTTAAGACAGCAGGTAAAAGTTGGTCTGTGTTCTGTCGGAGCTGCCTGCGATGCGCTGATGAGATATAAAAAGATCGAAATCGCGATCCGCGTGTGGCAGTTTCGACAGAATACAGACCACTTCGAATTATTTTATTCGATTAAGCTAACGTGCCTTATCACGTTGAGGTTGGCTACGCTGAGATTCGTTTTCAGCAAGTAGATATCCACACAAGTGGACCTTGTTGGAGCATACGTAATCCTAAAATGTAGCATCGTGCTACAGATGGCGTTTACTGCGCCATTTGTAGTATTTTCTAATTCGTCAAAATGTTTTTTTTTTTAATTCGTCAGATTATCAGCTAATTAATACAGTAGAACCTCTATAACTCGAACATCAAGGGAGATGCTAAAAAATTCGAGTTATAGAGTTTTCAACTTATGGAGGATTTTGACTTAGGCGGATTTTGAATCGACTTGTAGAGGTTAAGATTTGATGTTCTTACATTGTCGGCAAATCTTTATAGTCGATAACTTAGTTTTCTTCGAATTGTAGACGTAATAAGTTTTAAATTATTGAGTTGTAAATGTTGTAAAATAAACATTACTAAGTTCGATATACAGTGGTCCAATTTTATATTTTGAGTTATAGTCATAGAGGAAAAATATGTACCAAAATGGCTTGCAAGGACTCACCGATTATTTTGACTAATAGAGGGTTGAGATTTTGAAAAAGGAGGTTTTGGGGATTGCAAGGAAGGGAACAAAACATTTTTTCGAGTTTTGGAGGTTTTCAGATTATCGAGGTTCGACATTATGAGGTTCTACTGTATTAATCAGTGGCGTAGCACAGTTTTGTTTCACATGGGGATCTATCCTAAATGAACCTCCATAATGTTGCGCCACTGGTATTATAATAGTATGGCATCCCTTATGAATAGATGTATATACCTACTGTACAATATCATGATGAAAATTCAGTAATATAGAGTAAATAAAATACTACTTTGCATAGAAATCTTGTGGGGGAATTCTCGCTCTATTTTTAATGTTTCCTTCTTCCAGATGTCAAGCAGGAACAGGACGATGTATTGTTGATAAAACCCACAGGAATCAGTGCCAAGCTTGTCGATTGAAAAAGTGCTTGTCAATGGGAATGAATAAAGATGGTAAGTTTTATTTAAAGTAGGTAAAATTATAATTTCCACAGGCTTTTTTTTTATTTAGCAATTGTTTCGCAATGTTGCATCTCCTTCAGAAGTTATAAAGTTTTTTAAGCTTGATTGAAATATTGTAACATTTACAATATAATCTAACGGTGTAGATATATAATACAAGTCGGTTACTCGTTTCAATTAAAACGAGGTGTTAAGAAAAGGTAGTATTTCATACTAGTAGTTGAAGTAACTTCCTTACACGTGTTTTAGCAAGTTTGATTTCTGATTTTAACTCTTAGATTGTTGTAATTTAATTTTTCATTATATTTTAAACCTGACCCGACGGGACTTGAACCTTGACGAAACTTTTGTACAAACTAAAGGGGGTGGATCGGCTTGCGAGTTTCGATGATTTAGGGAGTTAGACCATAGGTTCAACCATAATGGGGGGTTCTTAAAGAGAAACCAGACTATGACAAGTTCCTGAAAAAGAGCAGCAGCTCTTTCAGTACTCAGGGTGGCAGAGATCACGATGATCGGTATGGAACCCTGATGCAAAATACTGCAATGTGGAAGGCACCTGGAAACCACAACATTATGATATCCCAAGTAAAACACACCAAAATAAAATGATGGCGTTCTCTGGGGTAAATCACTCCGGACGTAAACTAGTCCCCCATTCGGACGTCCGGGCGAGGACTACCTCGGGGGATGTCATCAATAAGGGCAATAGGGGTAGGTGCAATATTTCACGAGTCGGAGCGTGGAATGTTAGGACAATGAGGCAAGTTGAAAATTGGAAAATTTAAAAGTTGAGATGAATAGATTAAAATTAGATATAGCAGGCATTAGTGAAGTCCCAAAGCGGGAGACTTCTGGACTTTAGAATAATACATACAGGATCGGTGGAAAGTAATTCGGGGGTAGGAATTGCAATGCGTACGGACGTAAGGCAGAGTGTAGAAAGTTATTTACAAAAAAGCGATAGGAAAGTTATGGTTAAATTAAACTTGAAGCCGGTAAAAACGGTATTAGTGCAGGTCTACATGCTTACATCATCTTACAGTGATGAAGGCGTAGAAGCGGTTTAAATGTGGTGTTACAGGCGATTGATGAGGATACCGTGAATAGAGAAGGTTAGAAATGAAAAGGTATTAGAAAGAATAGGAGAACAGAGGACTCTGTGGAAGTCAATAAAAAATAGACGAGATAAGTTGGTAGGACACCTTCTCAGGCATGAAGGTCTAGTCAGGGACATATTAGAGGCAGAAACAGGAGTTAGGAGAGGTAGAGGTAGACCTCGATTGAATTACTGTTCGCAAATAGCTAACGATGTTGGTTGTTCTAGTTTTAAGGAAATGCGTAGATTAGCTCAGGATAGGAAAGAGTGGAGGTGCGTGTCCAACCAGTTTTAGGACTGAAAACTTTTATTAAACTCCGATTCTGGCAACATGCTCTGATTCTGTCTGTCTGCATATCTTTCTGTTACACATCAATTGGTGTAATGTTATTCCTTTTTAATTATTAATTTGGATTATTATCCATTGCAATTCTTACCTGATGTCTCTTGTCTATTCTTACGATATTCCCTGCAACGTCTGTCGTGAGTGAAGGTAAATGCGACATTAAGGATCGTTTTATTGCGGACTATGTCAATATAGGACGCCTTCTCAGACACGAAGGGCTAGTTATAGACATATTAGAAGCAGAAACAGGATCTAAGAGGAGTAGAGGTAGACCTAGATTAGACTACTGTTCACAAATAGTTAAGGATGTTCTACTTTCAAGGAAATGTGAGGATTAGCTCAGGATAGGAAGAGTGGAGGTGCCTGTCCAACCAATCTTAAGTTTGACGACCTTATGATGATGATGAATTTCGTTCAACTGTTAAAAAGGTTGGACATGTTTGGTTCAGGACATCTTTTTTCCATTTGACAACAAATCGTTTTTTCCTTTTACTTATTCGTATTATAACAAACGTCGGAGTTAATCTTTTGGTGCGGCCAATTTTTCAATTCCTCGCAGGCGTTTCTGTTCCATTCCGCCATCGCTTCCACCCTCTTCAATTTCTCATTCCCGTTAAAGCCTTCGAGTTAAAGCTTCGAGTAAAATCCCCGCCGTTTACTTCTTCCAAGTGTCAGAATGAGGCAGCATCAAAAACAATTCCGTTCCAAACAAACTGGCAGCGTTTTACAGTCATCCGTTTAAGATTGTAAATTATAGCTATTCTAAGCGCCAAACGCACCACCCGGATCTTTATTAACGTTTCCCTTTCCAACTTGAAGCTGTTTCAGGAGTGAATAAGCCGAAATAATTTTGCTTTACCAATTTACCATATACCTTAATATTTTAGACTGATATTAAAATTGTGATTTTTTATCATTTGGAATAGAAATTGAGAGGGGAATGAATCTGAAAAGGGACATTCTGAAAGGCTTCGTTTGGACTCATCGGGAATTTAGCATGCTTTTTAGTCAGTACAATTTTATTATTAAAAAAAGTAATTTAATTTTAATATTCATGGTACTTTCCATTGTACACACATATTGAAAAACAAACTTTTTAATACTTGTTTATGTTCACGATTAAAGTTAAATAAATGTTAGCAGGTTTTTCGTATAACAGTTAAAATTCAGTGGAAATATGTTTGTACATCTACAATAAAGTCTTAATTTTTTTCCCCGTTAACAATATGTTCATGAAGGTTTAATCAGAACTCATTTCAGATAAAATAGATATTTATTTGTAGACAATATTACCCTTCGGTTCGCCCCTTAGTTTGGGGCTTCTTCAAGGGTTCTACAGTGTTAAAATTTTTTAACAATTACAATTTTAAATATTTTGGTATGCAGCGAATTGTAGGACAATGTGTGAACAGAACACGTTATAAATTTGTAAGAAATTATTAAATTAAAATAATAAATAAATAGTAATCATTAAATGTACTCATTTTATGTACTTATTGATACCTTCCGTAAAAAGTTTAAATAAGAAATATGCACCACCGACAACAAATACTACCGTTCAAATTTAGACGGTTTCCGTTAATATACTCTATACCATTTATTATAAAAATAAAATTTTTGGCCTTAAAAAATGGTAAGTGATGATGTCTAAAAAATTTTTATCGTTATACATTTTTATAACAAAAGGAGGAGTTAGAGATAACTCTAAATAAAATGGAAGAGGTGTTAACAAAACAGTATTCTATGAAAATAAGTAAAAGTAAAACAAAAATACTAGTTTGCAAGAGCAGAATAAGTAGGAAAGGAACTAATATAAAGAAAATTAGAAGAAGTGACTGATTTTAGGTATCTAGGAAGTCAGAAATGTCAGAACGGAAGGAGAAGTAGGGATATAAGGCAGAGGATAGCGCAGGGTCAAATCGCCTTTAATAAAACGAAGTCACTTGTCACTATGTTCGCGAACGGTTAATTTAGAAATTCGACAAAGATTCTTAACGGTGTATGTTTGGAGCGCGACGCTGTATGGGTGCGAAACATAGATTGTGGGCACGCGGCGGGAAAGAAAAGGTTAAAAGCGTTCGAAATGTGGTGTTACAGCGAATGATGAGGATACCATGGATAGAGAATGTTAGAAATGAATAGATATTAAAAAGAATAGGAGAACAGAAAACTCTATGGAAGTCAATAAGGAATAGGCGAGATAGGTTGGTAGGACACTTTCTCAGGCATGAAGGTCTAGTCAGAGACATATTAGAGGTAGAAATAGGAGTTAAGAGGAGTAGAGGTAGATCTAGATTAGATTACTGTTCACAAATAGTTAAGGATGTGGGATGTTCTAGTTTTAGACAAATGCGAAGATTAGCTCAGCATGGGAAAGAGTGGAGGTGGGTGTCCAAGTAGTCTTAGGATAGACGACCTTATGATGATGATACATTTTTTTGGTATACATAATATGACGTACATCCCGTTTTTCTTTTTGCTTGTAACAACCGTTTTCAGTGCGCAGCAAGGTATAGGTACCTAAAAGTTATTCTACAATTATTGTACTAAAAAGCTCTTTCTACCTTTTTAGAGTTTTGTCAAGTTTTTACGGATAAAGAAAGAGATCAAATAAAAGAAAGAAGAAGATTATTATAGGTACATTAAAGTTTCGTATGCTATAAGTTGTTATAAGAAAAAAGTAGTATTCATTTTCTATTTTCAATCTCAAAAGATATTGTTTATATCAATTTTCCGAATTTCCATTTTTTTTTTTGAAATTCGCTTCTTCGAATGGCTATTTTTAAAGGAGCAATATAGAGGCGTCACAATCCAGTTTTCGCATAGATAGTTGTCACTAATGGAACCTGGCGTCGGCGTCGTTGTTTGTCGGCGGTCGACGTCAGCCGATGTCGCGTCGCGTCGAAGCGTCCCGACCCCGCGTCACATCCTGAGCCGTCCTCTCCCGCACTTTGCCGGTTGGGGAGTTTTGGTGGAGCGTTTGGTGGGAATTAAACGGCTTTGAATCGCATTAATCAGCGTCTGCTAAATCCAGGATATAGCTGTTTGTTGCAGGATAGGAAAACGAGCCTGAAAGTGCTGCTGTTACGAAGAAGTGGCGGCCTGGCAGCAACGGGTGGCATGGCAGTGCTATCAACGATAAATGCTCTGTAATGCTTTGCCATGTCGACCGACGCGATAGCGTCGAATTTGCTTTTAAGGACAGTTTTGTTTTAATTACTAAGCGACGTAGTCACAGCTGTCCCACCTATTAACTTGTAAATCGAAAGGGATATCAGGATTTCTAAGGGGTAGAAAATGAACAGTTGTAGCCTAGACCATTTTAGGGTCCACTTCAGAAATAACTTTCTCCGTATTACAAAAGAGAAGAACTTTACGAAAAGATTTTTTATCTT